TGACCACCAGATATAAATAGAGGATTCATGTGGCAAAGTTTGATTTTAGCATTATAATAAGTCGTTTTAATGTTTATAAGAAATATTTACTAAAGCGAAGTCGATGGTACCATTCCTTCTGTACCGTCAGCAAGTGTTTATGTATTTTTATCAAATAGTTTTGATTCTAGGAGTTCTTGAAAATGGTTCCAGTCACAAACACACGCAAGGGCATGTCAAATGTTAATCAGTTAAAAACACTAAACGATATGGTACAAGCCAAAGCAGGGAAGAATGTGGTCTTTAATGTGTCACATGTGGAATTGTTGTCCACGCATCTACAACTAAACCATCTATTTTCTATAAAAATATATTTTGTAAGCTTGATGAAACAACTTCTGAGCAAGAGCTGTATGGTCTTCTTTGACATCTTGGTAAGAAAGGTGTGGCGGTTTGGTAGCCCAGTGGTTAAAGCCCTCGGTCGTCACGCCGAAGGCCAGAGTTCGATTCCCCACATGGGTACAATGTTTATAGCCCATTTCTGGTGTTCCCCGGCGTAATATTGCTGGAATATTGCTCAAGTCGGCGTAAAACCATACTCACTCACTCACCCGACCAAATCAGCGTGCCTAACTACTTGACCCTGGTCTTCAGATACCCATGCTAACGGGATCGTGTGGTCAGGCTCCAAGTGACCACCCTATTGACATCATATATACACTGGTATGAAGAGAGTTAGAGATAATGAGACGCGTGAAGATCCGGGTTAGAAGTGGTTTTCAGAAACCCATGCTTGTCGTAAGAAGCGACCAACAGGATCGGGGGCTCCCAATCGTATCCCAATTGCGTAGATCGATGCTCATGTTGTTCATCACTAGTTTGTCTGGTCCAGACTCGATTGTTTACAGACTGATTTATTTTGATATCAATAAGACTCTCCTTATGTGTATCACCCGAGAAGATCCGGGTTAGAATCGATCTTAAGTAACCCATGCTTGTCGTAAGAGGCGACTTAAGGGATCGGGTGGTTGGTTGACATGGGTTCCCAATTGCGCTGGAATATTGCTGAGTGCGGCGTAAAACTAAGCTCTATCACTTACATAGTCGACTGTAATATGATACTCTCCATGCAAAGATGTAGGACAATGGCAGACATTTGCAAGGAAGAAAATTAATTTCTGTGACTCGATGTGACTCAATGATTGACAGCTAAACGCGGATGTATGAATCGAGTTTGCGTGGGCAGTGTCAGATTAATAAATCAGTCTGAGACTTGACATTTTATCAGTCGCGGGACCTTTTGTTGAGAGCAGACACGTAAGTTCTTAGAGTTTTCGATGTCTAATGTGTCACGTCACTGAATTACTCAAGTGTTACATGTCAAAATGTGCCCCCCACTTAGTTTATATTTGACCTATTTGAGGGAAGTGCATTATTCGTGCCATAAGCGGGTCTCCTTTATTCGCTCATCTGAAAAACGGTTCTATGTTTGTTTGTTTGTTCTTGTTTTTTGTCTGTTTGTTGTTTAACGCCACACACAGCACTAGAAGAGAGTCGTGACGTGGTCCTAGTCTAGACTGTATAGTGAGTATGGTTTTACGCGGCTTTCAGCAATATTTAGCTTTTAGCAGATGAAGAGAATACCTGTAAACATAATCATTATACATATGATCATCACAGTATAAATCATATCACATGGAATCACAGATTCATGAAAAGCGAAAAGAAAAGGAAAGGGAGACAACTGAAACACTGTCACATGCATCGATCGACGCAATTAGGATACTACGATTAACAGCATGTATTTAACGTGTAGTAAATAATTAAATATCACAATGCGTAAAATGGAAACAAGTATTTTTTTCAGGTGACAGGGTTTTGAATATGTAAAAGATGGTACGACAGTACAGTAGCATGTCAAATAGCACTGTAATGAAAAGTGACATGGGAAAACTGACCTTCAAATAAGAGCGACCAATGAAGGTCCGGGTTAGAACTGATCTTCAGTAGTGAGTGAGTATAGTTTTACGTCGCCTTTAGTAATATTACAGCAACATCACGGCGGGGGACACCCATGTGGGGAATCGAACCCGGGTCTTAAGCGTGACGGGCGGACGCTTTAACCACTAGGCCACCCCACCACCCCTGATCTTCAGTAACCCATGCTTGTCGTAAGACGCGACAAACTGGTTCGGGTGGCCAGGCTCGCTGCCTTGGTTGACACATGCCATCGTATATCAATTGCGTAGATCGATGCTCATGCTGTTGATCCCTGGATTGTCTTTCCCAGACTCGATTATTTACAGACCGGTGCCATATAGCTGGAATATTGCTGAGTGCTGCGCAAAACTCCCTCCCTCACTGGAAGGAGAGCCGCTCATTGACATGTAACGCTCTTCATAGGTTTTCATAGGTTTCCAGGAATTATCCAATCTCAACTTTTTAACGGCCCGAACATAATATGAGTGAGTGAGAGGTTTTAGTGAGTTTCAGTCGCTGGTTGGTTGAGTCAGTTTAACAAACTTTTCAATCGACCGTACTTTTGACCGCGATTTCTTACCAAAATTATTTCTATTTCGATGTTTCTATTTATTTGAACACTATTCTGAGGAAGAAGCCGGTGTAAGGCAGTTATCACTTTGGTGGTGAAACCCACGAGCACTGGAATGGCACTGTCAACATATAGAGATATACACATCTGGCAATGACGTCCTACTGGCAAACAAGGATAAGTTGGGCACTGACTGGACAATTGACCCGTATTAGCATGTATGAGAGCCGCCCACTGGTGCTTGCCATTGTGAACGAACGGGCCCCAGGTTGTCCGTGATCAAGTATAATGCGATGGGTGAAGCGCGTGGCCTGTCTCAGCGAACTCCGAGTTCGACAGTGGCAGGTGCTATCTTTTAATAGTGCCTGTTTCGTGGGTGTGCGCAATGCCATGCACCGCCTACTTCTCTGCGCCGGTCCAACTTATCCTTGTTTGCCAGTAGACGTGTTTAAAGGGTGTCAAGGGAGTTCTGGCTATGACGAGGCGGTGGGATAGCAAAGTAGTTAAAGCGTTCGTTCGTCACGTCGAAGACCCAGGTTCGATTCCCCACACGGGTACAACGTGTAAAGCCCATTAATGCCACCCCCCCCCCCCACCCCGCTGTGATAGTGCTCGGAAATTGGTAAAAGCAGCTGAAAAGCTAACTCACTCACTCAGTCTGGCCATGACATGAATGTTTTGCCATTGGGTGAAACGGGTCAGAATCCTAGCAATATGAGCACGTCCATTATTATCTTGAAAAATAAAATGTTGCCGAAAACGTTGCTGGCATTACGAGTGTTGAATTGATGATATCTTGATTATTATGACTGTGATGTCATCGTATCCCATATGCGTATATTGATGCTCATGCTGTAGATCACTGGATTGTCTTGTCCGGATTCGATTATTTACAGACCGCCGCCATATATATCTGGAATATGGTTTTAAACAACAAAGAACGTTAAAGGTCACATGCAACGTAAAACACAACTTTGCAGATTCTGATACCTTTCGGTATGGACTTACCGAAAAAAAGCGTCAAAAATGCAAATTCAACTTATAAAGTTAAAAAATAGCGCGATGAAAAAAAACGCGCGAAATCGGAGTTCAAACGTTTCACTAATTTTCCCCAGACTTTTCTGAGGAATACGGGTTTCAACAGCTGGCTGCGCTCATAGCACGTGCGCAGTGAAATAGGTTCGCGCAACTTGGAAGCGGGCTGTCTGGTGAATACTCGGTGAAGGCTTTGGTGTGAGCTAGTTTCATAATGTTTTGTTGATATCTCACAGGCGCGAGCTTTTTGTATGTTATGACAGTAAATAAACTGTTTATATAATTTCATTTATCTATTTCACCACACGTTCTTCTTACCGAGTCACTTTCTCAGGTCGATAATTAAAAGCAATGTCATTATTTAGAGTCGACACGATTTCTAACTGTGATATAGATATGTTGCTGTCACAGACAAAACTCAATGTCTTGTTTTATTGACACCAGTGTGTCTGCCTGCCTGTCTGCTAATGACAATATTCAATACACAACTGCGATCACTGACCACATGCAATTTGAACTTAACACCAATCAGGCTATAAACCATAAACAAAACGCATTGATTTATGGCCCGAGTTTGGTCTCTGTCACATTATGTATTTACACAGACAGGCAGGTGTGATACTTGAACATATGACATGTTATGATGTCTGTTGATTGCAAAATGTTATACACAAAAAATGAGCATGTATTTACAAAACCCAACTTTCTATATATACACACACACAATGACCCGTGTAGGCGGCATCTGCTAATGAACCAGCCGTTACACTTGAGTGCACACCCACCCGCTCTGACTGGGTTCGGTATCCCGGCTGCTTCGTTTCGAGGGAGGTAAACCCAAGTACAAAATATTGCACTTTTGATTTGCGATTATACGCATATAATTTGGTTTATTTGTTTTTTCATAATCAGCAATGCATATTATATGTCATGAAGTAGTGATAATTGTGTTTTAATTATGTTTGATTTTTTGGTTGCATGTGACCTTTAAGAGTCGGCAGGAAGTCTAGCCGTTTAGACGTTTCCCCTGTGAGGGAATTCCCAGCTTCGAATATGTGAAACACCCTCCTGGTGTCTACTCAGAGGAAGTTGCTCGAGTATTGCTACAAGCGGTCTTAAACATATTCACCCAATCACATTTAAATGGAATGTATTTATTACCCATTTGATCATCAGTAACCCATGCTTGTCGGAAGAGGCGATTAACGGAATCGGGTGGTCAGACTCGCTGACTTTGTTGACACACGTCACGATAACAATGACTGTGATGTCATCATATCGCAGTTGTGTAGATCGATGTTCATGATGTTGATCACTTGATTGTCTGGTCCAGACTCAATTATTTACAGACAGCCATATAGCTGGAATATTGCCGAGTGCGACTTAAAACGTAACTCACTCACTCACCCATTCAATGTTCTCTTGTTTTTTTCAGACAAGCAACAACAAACATGAGCGTATGGACAGAATGGCTGGACATCTTCCCAGTCGTGGGTACTCTCCAGAACACGGTTGAAGCTATATCAGCCGTCTGCCATGGCGCCTATGACCTTGCAAAGGAAAATGGAGCCGATGCAGCTCTGAGTCTTGTGCTGGATGTCCTCACATATGGGACAGCAGGTGCCCCGGATTCTGCACACCTTAAAGTTGCTGAAAAGGTCGTAATGAAGGGCATTGGTCCCAAAGAAGTCATGAATGCCATGAAAGGTAAAGGTGGAAAATCCGGGAAAGGAGGAGCTGCACAATCCATGAAAGGAGCTGGTAAAAAACCTGCTGCTACTCAGATTAACATCAAAGAATTGACCAACAAATCCAAAAAGCCATCAGACCCAAAGACCAGTAAAGGGGAACAGAAGAAGCCATCGCATCGTGGCGAACATGTCATCAACAACAACGTGCTGAAGGTGTTTCGGACAATCATTGACCGATTTGCTGCTAGGATTGGAAGCACTGCAGCTCAACTGCTTGAAAATAAAGAACACACAGCAGCTTATAAAGCATATCACACACCTCTTCCTGCAGCCACCACCCAGTCAATCGGCCACCAGATGGTTGCTCATATTCGAGAAGAAGACCAATACATTGATGCCAACGCAACTGCCTATGGAGCAGCCATCAAAGAGATTTCTGACATGGTGGTCACTTATATGTACGACTATTACACCAACAACTTCTACTCCGGTCCTGCCGTTGATAGGAGCATCATCGATCTGATTCGTTTACTGAACAACGGTCAGTTGTATGTGGACGAACGAGTACGCCAAACAGTACTGGCTTCAACAGGGCGGGGACGTGAACAAGTTTGAAGAGTGCAGGCAAGAAGTCGTGCAGATGTTTAGATGTCTGTGTGCACCGACAAGCGGGGAAAACGAGGCGAAGCAGTGGGTACGTGATCTTACTGGTCACATTTAACTGATACATTGATGTTATCAGCAGCTAATCAGGTTTCTTCTAACCAAAGATTCCACGTCAGATACTGATACTGGAGAAAGCTCAACTCAACAGACTTTTCGTTGTCATGTCGTGGGAGAGCACACTTAACTCTGTACTGAACTTTGAGGGATATCTCAACTATGCTGACCTCTGATGCCATCTGACTTATACTAATTTCTTTAAATCTACCCAGATCTGCTCAGTCTAAAGGACATTTTAAGATTCTTAGTGTACCGACTTTGATGCCAAGTCAAGTTACTATGAAACACCTGTCTATGCAGACATTTCACACCATGATACCATACTATTCAACTCTTGACTGTACTCACATTGGATGCCGTTATACTTTACCACGAAGCAAATATTTTTGCAGACATTTCACACCAACACACCACACTATACGACACTTGACTGTACTGACACTGGATGCCAAGGCATGGCGTTGTAACATCATTAATTATGCAGACATTTCACACCAACACATCACACTATACGACACTTGACTGTACTGACACTGGATGCCAAGGCATGGCGTTGTAACATCATTAATTATGCAGACATTTCACACCAACACACCACACTATACGACACTTGACTGTACTGACACTGGATGCCAAGGCATGGCGTTGTAACATCATTAATTATGCAGACATTTCACACCAACACACCACACTATACGACACTTGACTGTACTGACGTTGGATGCCAAGGCATGGCGTTGTAACATCATTAATTATGCAGACATTTCACACCAACACACCACACTATATACGACACTTGACTGTACTGACGTTGGATGCCAAGGCATGGCGTTGTAACATCATTAATTATGCAGACATTTCACACCAACACACCACACTATACGACACTTGACTGTACTGACACTGGATGCCAAGGCATGGCGTTGTTACATCATGTATTATGCAGACATTGGGTGTAAATAACGGACTCCGTTACATCCAGACTAGACCCTTTGATGCGTGCTCAACCGACACAATCGAGCAATATGCAATGGCTCGAAAACTTGAAAATAAAACGTGGCCTGAATATGATCCTATGTACTGACGGCTGAACGCCTTGTGGGCAGAAATTCTGAGACCATAACACTTGTGCCATAACATAAAACAACGGGTTTGGGGATTAGTCAAATGTTGAAACATGCTGTCGATGACAACCTTTAATGGACACTACTTGCTTAGATAGAGGTTTTCTTTATTCAACGCCACGTCAATTTTGAAACTTGAAGGTTTAAGCTGGTTTTAGAATGCTAGTCCACTGAGATACCATGCCACAGTGAAGCATGAATACCCCCACTCAGACACATTATACTGACTCCAACCGACCTGTCCTTGTTGTACCCATTATTGCCGAGCGCCAGACAGGACCAACAAGTACCATATTTTAACTTTTTGGTATGACGCGGTCGGGGATCGAACCCGCGACCTTCCGCTCACCCGGCGGACGCTCTAACTACTACACCACGGAGGCGGTCAAATAGTATAAGAATATTGTAGGTATGTGCGGTGTTGCTTTTACAGGACGGCCTGTTTCCACCTGACTGAGTAGGTTTGAAAATACCCTCTCATGGAACATTGGACTTTTGCCCTCATCACTGCTGTATGATATAATAACATGCAGTGGCATTTGTATGTGCTAATGTGATAAAAATAAATCGTGAATTATGAGAGTTTGTTGTATCTCATCAGTAGATGTGAGTAGTATGTGGTGGTATTAGCCTTGGTGCTGTTCAGTTTGACACTTCTGAAGCCAGGAGCATGACCCGGGACGATCCGGGGTAGAACTGATCTTCAGTAATCCATGCTTGTCGTAAGAGAAATAATTGTTCTCAGTTATACCTTTCCAAATACCTGTCTTGGTCAGGCAAAAACTGGCTTAATAGTGACAAGACCGACATTATCATAGTGGTAGCGAACCAATACTAAACCCCGTTCCACAAAACGATGTTGGTTCAAACATATATTCATGGAACCAAATAAGGGAACACATGAAAGTACAAGTGTTCCTTTATTTTCCAGATTTTCAGGCACAGTGCAATACATACCTTGTGAAGAAACCTGGAAAAAATAAAGGAACACTTGTACTTTCATGTGTTCCCCTATTTGTTTCCATGAGTATATTTGTTCACAAAGAGAAAAGGAATGGGGCCATGTTCTTACAACTCAGAAAAACCCTCTTTAAGAATATTTACTACAACAAATTACATCACAAGCCACTATCAGACATAGACCCAAAGGAAGATTGACAGTTAAGGGAAATAATAAGATACCAAAGGAACAGAGAAGGAAAACTGCTGGAATCTTAGCTCTACGATGATAACAGTAAGTCAATCCTAAAGCATTTGAGTAACGATCACCTTAGCGCTAAGATCGTTTTGAGGGGTGGGTCCCAATACAGCATATGCGGTAATATATACTACCCATCAAAAGTTTAGACTCACTAGTGTAAATGAAGCCACTTACTTCAGTCAACTGTTCTAAACTAGATTTTGCAAAATATTCCTTACTATTTAAAGGTACTGTTTACACATGAACTGATGTCTTGTAAAACAAATTTGTAACGTTGAAAAGATTATTGTCATGAGTTCAATAAATGGTGAAACGCAGTGAAAATTGGCGAATTCTTAACAAACTCAACACCAAAACGCAGCTGTTCACATGCACGATATTTGCACATGCTTTTCAGCAAGTTGATGTATTGATCCTCGTGCAACCCATATGCATAAGGTTTGCAGTTGGTTCCCCAACGTTGTAGAGAAACCACATATATATATATACATAACATATAGTGAGTTCTTTAAGTGAGTCTAAACTTTTGATGGGTAATATACCATTACTGACACTGTGTACCAGTCCAGCACTGATGGCATGGTAGAACTGAGTACTGCTTGCTTGTTGGTAGTTTATCACCACATTCGGCAATACATCAGTAGTATATACAATGGGGGTACGAAACCACTTTCAACAAAAGCCTCTGCAAAGCCTTATTTATGAAATAAGGCTTTTGTCAGGCCCTTAGATCTCGCCCCATTACCCCTACTACTTTCCCGACCTATAAAAAAAAGTTGAGACACCAGCGGGATACGAACGCCCAATGTTATACCTCACTGTCTCACCACTTAACCAACTGAGCTACTGGGGACTTAGCTGAGGTATCTCGGTTTAACGGGTCAATCCTGGGGCACTATGTCACGTTGACCTCAATGAAACAGTTTAATGTGAATTGCCTATAATCTCTTTGGTGTTTGTAATAAAGGCTTGCTGGGCTTTTTTCACCCCCTTGTTCTATGTCCTTTTTTTTCTCGTCTTCGCTGATAGCAGACTTACGAGACTTGGATCGAATCTCTTGTTTCATTTTGTTATATTTTTCGAGTTCAGAGAGGATTGAACGAAACTACTCCTCCGAGATCTTGTTGTCAGTGAGTGCCATGGAAATACGCTCACTTACTGTGTTAAGCTTTGCTTCGGCCAGAACCCTGATCTCGTCGTGTTTCAATGCCTTACGATGCAGTCTGCGTGATGCAAACTTAAGCGCCAACCCTAACACCCCTGCCACCCCAGCTGTTATTTCAATGCCTAGCACTACGGGGAAAGCCACGATGGTAGCTAACAACCCAACACCTGCCGCCCCCAGCCCCATGCTGGTTGTCATAAGGGCAGTATCAGCCCCGTCCACGATATTGAAAGCTCTATGGTGCTTCTTACATAGCGCTTTACGCGTGTCACGGTCTTGTTCTAGTTGGCGTTTCACATCACATAACTGTCTCAAACGGAACCCGTCTACAGTTTCCAGGGTCTTCGCTACTTCCTCTACGACTGGGTACAGCCCCATCCTGTGTGTATATAACATATTCTAAAAAAGATCTTTAAATCGTACGACATTTAATTCTTGTATAGTATATTTCAGGCTTATAAGGTTTAGATTATTGTACAGGGTAATAGGTGAGAGGCTAATAGGTAACTCTGCGTCTACACGAACATTAATGGGGCAGCTTACTAAGGGGGCTATAGAACCCGTTGAGGGGTCCGGTCATATGATGATACGGCAACGTTGGTGCCTGTCAGTGATGCCCCAGCGTATTCTCACCCCAGGTAAAAATTGTCGTTCTGTATCATTACGAACCGATCCGAGGAAGACTTCTATGGCGAGTGTGGAGCCTTTTTTCATAGTCATCCAGGATAATGAGGTATCGGGGACGTCAAACCTTAACTCGCCCTCTCAGCCTGAAACAACTAACATGTTATTCGTGTGATCATCTGTTAGCCGAGTACTTATCCTATGGTTCGGAACGAAAACCCCAAACAAGAGGCCGTTGTTCCTAATTTCGGAGACCTCCCTATCTTTGTTTAACGAGATATAAGGTGCGGTGAGGGTCATGTTGATCAACCATTTGGGCTCTATAAAGTCGTCTGGTAGATGCTTCCTCACGTACACACCTTTTCTTAAGGACAGGACATACGAGGTGCCGTCCTCACCAGGCTGATCGAACCCCTTTGTGACTCCTAGGTCCCCGAGTGTGATTTTAGGCAGATTATCAACTATTGCTGCCCGCCTATACACGTTGTCTTTCAAGTGCAGGGCGTACAAGGCGTCTTCCTCACCAGGCTGATCGAATCCCTCCGTGTCCCCTAGATCGTTAAGCGTAGCGTTGGGACAATGACTGGTCATTGCTATAATACTATTGAGATATAGTTTCCAACTGGTTTTCTGATAATAGCTCAGGGGTTAATTTCACCCCCATGAAGTGTATGTTGTCGGGTAGGAAGATCTTGGTTAGTGATATCGTGTTTTCCATGATCACGGTGACTCCCTGCAGACTGGTGTTGGAGCAGACACCCACCCGTACGTAAACTGT